CGGTTACTTTTGCAGAAATATATGGGTATACATGATCCTTGGAAACTCCATAGTCCCAAAACTATGGAGACAACATTATAATGAACTGCATTACAGAACAGCACCAAATTAAAAGCTAAGGGACAGAGCTGGGCATGGTGACAACRTATGTGCTTACCAAGGGCTAAGGCATCTCATGAACCTATTCTTTGTGCTTTGTGTGACAGACTGGTGAGGATGAGTTAATCCGTGTAATCCTATCCTTGTGACCTTAACCTTTATAATTCAATGCAATTCTTTAACTGGATTGAAGACTATTACTTTACACTTGTTTAATGGAGACTTGGTGGGATAATTCACATGACTGGAGTGCTGCAATGGATGGACACAAGGTCTTTAGAAATGACAACCCAAGATGGTGAGGAAAGGGAGCTACCCTGTATACAGCAACGTGGTGGGAATGCACAAAGCTCTCTCCAAGGAGGGATAACGTGTCAGCTCAGAGTTTATGGGCCAGGACTAGCAGGAAGACCATGTAGGATGGTGGGAAGACCCACCATCACRGTGGGAACATGCTATGCATTCTGTGATCAGGAAGAAGCAGATAAGACCTTAGATACAAGCTATCACTTGAACCACAAGTTCTCTGGGAGGTTCCTGGAGCGCATGGTGACAGCTTCCTMACACAGGTTCATGAACTGCTCACGAGAGGAGACGACCTGCCAGACCTCATACTTACAAACAAGGCAGAGCTGACTGAGGATGTGAAGTTCTGGGGCAGCCTTTGCTGCCACAATCATGTGATGGTGGGGTTCAGGATCTCCTAGGAGGACAGAGGGGGTAAAAAGAAGCCCACAATCTTGGACTTCAGACTTGGCCTGTTCAGGGATCTGGTTGGAAGAATCCCAAAGAACACAGCATTGGAAAGAAAAGCAATTCAGGAAAGCTTGTTACTTTTCAAGGATCATCTCCTCCAAGGTCAAGAATAGTCCAACAGGCAAGAAATCAAGCAAAGGCGGCAGCAGCAGGCCTACATGGATGAACAAGGAACTACTGGCTAAAAACTCTAATAAAGAAAGAGCACATAAAAGAAGTGGAGACAGAGAGACGACCCAGAGAAAGTGACAGACACTCCCCAAGCATGCAGGTATGGGGTTAAGAAAACCAAAGTCCATCTGGGGTTGAATCCGGTGAGGAACATGAAGGGCAACAGGACAGGCTTATATAGGCATGCCAACAGCACCARGAGAACGAGGGAAATGTGGTCAACTGCTAAAAGAGTCAGGGAAGCTGGGGAAAAGGGTGAGACACCCGATGACTCCTTTGCTTCTSTCTCTTCAAGTAAGACAGATCTCAGGAATGTCAGGCCCCTGAGACCTTTGGGAAGTCTGGGGCAAAGATGACTTACCCCAGTGGAAGAAGAACAGGTCAAGGTACTTTTAAACAACCTGGACATACATGAGTCCATGGGACATGATGGGATGCATCCATCAGTGTTGCAGGAGTTGCCTGGCAAGGCCACTCTCAATTCTCTTTGATTGGGACCAGGAGAAAACAAATCTCACTTCTGTCTTCAAGAAGGGCTAGAAGGAGGACCCAGGGAACCACAGGCCAGSAAAACAAAGTCACACGGGAGGCCAGTCTCTTAACAGTGTCCYCCAGGAGTAAATACATAGCACACCCTCAGCAAATTTGCAGAATATATAGAAGTGGGAGGAGTGCTCGATATACCACAGGTTTGCAGTACCATTCAGAGGAACTTCACTGGCTGGAGAAATGGGACTACAGAAACCTCACAAAGCTCAACAAACGAAAATGCAAAGACCTTGACCCGAGGAGGAATAACTTCATATATAAAAACACACTGAGGAGCCATTCACCTGAAAAACAGTTTTGCAGAAAAACTGGGGACCCGGTGGGCAGCAAGCTGACTGTGGTCCAGCTATGCACCCTTATGACAAGGAAGGTCAATGGTGTCCTGAGCACTGTTGAAGAAGGAGGCTCAGGGTGTGTGGGAGTTATCAGTGTATACAAATATCTGATGGGAAAGTGTGAATAAGATGCAGCAAGATTCTTCACAGTGGTGCTCAGCGACAGGACAAGAAGCAAGAGCACAAATCAAAATACAGGAAATTCAATTTAAACATAAGAAAAAAAAATGTGTTTTCTATATCCTTTAAGATACTCAAAACCCTGCAGGGCATGGTCCCAAGCAACCTGCTCTAGTTGACCTTGCTTTGGGCAGAGGATTTAACTAAATGATCTCCAGAGGCCTCTTCCAAACTCATCTATTTTGTGATTCTGTTTAAAATTAGACCATCCTTCACGGAAGCCTTAATGTACTATGCAGTGGAAAAATATATGAAAGGATACACTTTTTGAGTTATGTTGTATGAAGCACTGTGGAAACTTTATGGAAGCACCACCAATCAAATAGACTTAGCTAAGTAAACATACTGCATTCAGGTTACATAAAACCTTTCCTCAGAAGCAAAATGTTAATTATAAAAATTCAATTACAGTTTCTGCAAACATCACTGTGCAAACATTTTTAATGATTCTTTACCCTAAAATAACTAACCTTAAAAAAAAAACACTAATAGAATCTTGCTTCTAGCAACTAAGTAAGAACTATATATATTTAAAATATAGATAAATACTTGCATTGCTGGGAGCTAACTGAATATCCACCCACTGCTATTCACTGGAAACCTAATCTTTAAAAAAAGGTGTGTGGGAGAAGTCATTCGAGCTCAATGCCTCATCACCATGAAAGCAAATTACACYTGAGGCAATCATTTGCTCTCCAGTTACAGATATACTCTATAGAAGCCGCCTAACACAGAGATTACACTAAAAATCAGTGCATTGAAGAATAGCAGAGGAAATGAACACAGAATATGAAAAATGTATTATGCTTTTGGTCATCATAATAAGTAAATGACTTCCAGGTGTATTTCCCACTAAGCTCAAAAAGACAAACAGCATTATGGGGTTCTTTAGAGAAAAATAAAGCTGATAAAAAAGCTTATTTGATACAAAAAAAAAAATCAGCATGCTATTGTTGCAACTATAATGTCTTCTTGGGGGTGGTGGGAATTGGTTCTGCATACCTTGCAGCATGAAAGGCTGAACAGACTTTGTTCAGCACTGTGTGCTGAGCCTACTGAAATCTTGGCACTACGCAGGGCATCAGCCCACTGGCCTCCAGCTCTGGAGTTTCAACATTGTGAAAACTTTTTATTTTTTCTTTTTAATCATAACCTAAAGAATACTATAATAATAATTTTTGACATTCACATGTCAGGCCCGCCTAGGCTAATTTCTAAACCACCTGCTCTTAATCTTTTGAAACTCAGAAACCCAAGTTTACATTCAGTCATTCCAGGTGAAATCCATTCTGACTCTGACTTAGGTTCTGAGTCTTAACTACTTACTCAGACAGACTCTGAGCTTGTGAGAGAAAGCCACCCCTCCATCTGCAAGTCTTTTATTAGCCCCAAGAATCCATCCACAAAGGGAGAGCTTGAAAGATTATTAAGAGTAAGAGAAGAATCTGATGCTGAATTGTTCTTTGTGAGTTCAAAAATCTCCCCCTTAAAGAAAAGTGGCTTTAATTTCCAAGAAAAGCACAGCATTTGTAAAGCACTGTAAGACTCTGTAAAAGCAAAATTTGTCTTCTTAAAGTCAGGCCATTTTTAAAATTCAAGTGACTAATTGTGGATAGAGGAATCTAAAGTTCTCATATGTAAATATTTTGAACTTAATTTTTAATAGAGGCTTTTCATCCTTACTAAAGCAGAGAATCTCTGTGAGCTCTGCTATCACATTGCTATTTCGATGCAACAACAATGAATCACCTCTATCTCTTAGCACATCCATTCTTAATATTGCTGAATTGATGCAATTCACATCAGCATCGGTAAGCGCCAGTCAGAATTACAGAGCACCTTGTACACCTGGACCACAGGCAGCAAGATTTGCAAGGGCACGAATGAGTTTTTTGTGCTTAAGACTCTAATAATTAACTGTGGACACAGAAGGCCTAATGGCATGCTGGTTTTGAAACTCATCTGAAATAGTCTTTTAACTCTACTGGTAAAATCTCAAGTCTCTCTGTCTTTGGGGAAGATGCCAATGTTGTGAAGCTGTCTTGGAAAGCTGTTTTGAGACGTGCTACTCAATTTCAACTAAAAATGGCMTTTTGCTGGTTTCTCACAGGTCGGTTCTCCTTTCTACCAACATGTTCTACTAATTGGTTGAGCCCAGGATCTTTCAGAGCAGTACAGTGTGCTCACATATTTGAGCATATAGCTCAGTATGGAATACATGGACTTCCTGAAGCTCATGGCTATTTGTTATCTCTCTGTGACACTCCACTTTTCATCAGCCTTTTACACTGCAGATACAAAGCAAGTTTGAAGCTTAGAAGAAGCACTATCTGTCCTGGGTTGGAGCATGTTTTGTGGCARATGAAGGTAGGTTTTACCATTATTTTTAATTCTTTTCCAATGCAAGACAAAAGGCTGGCATTAGCAGTGCTTAGCAGCAAACTGCAACCCAAATAAAAACTGTGCTCCCCAAACAATCAGTGCATTTTTAGAGGGCACCTTCCTAGAAGGCAGCAAATGGGTGAGACTACAGACTACCACAGTATAATCGGTTTGCTTCTAGAAAAGAAGAATCAAAATTAAAACCATTTCAGCAACTCTACTACCACTACCAAAATTTAAATATTCATCTTTGCACTGTAAAGTGGTGTTTCAGTTTCTTACACTTCTAAATCACTTTGCATTGGGGGAAACTGGAGCTGCTTTCCATGCACAAGCCAAGTTTCACTGAACTCTTGTGAGCTTGTCACCCGTTCTGACCAGTGCTAAGCAGAGGCCATGACAGGCTTGAGTGACTTGAAAAGCAAGGCAGATGTTTCAACAGCAAAGTGTCACACAAAGGCTCATCAAGTCAACGGCACCAACATGCTACAGAAGATATAGGACAATTTGTGCAAGGTCTGTACTCACGCAGAAGTTGTCTGCATATCATGCCAGCTTTTGCTGAAGTTCTGCTTCAGTTCATTCATCAGACTTATGCCAAGTTTCTGTTTAATTTCCACCAGGTGCTTTTCTTTGGCTGCTAACACTTGCCGCAAAGTTGAGATTTCATCCTCTAGCTGCGCAAAAGAAACAAGGAGGAGGGGAAAGAAGAAAGGTGTTAGTTTGCTCCACAGAAAGAGATTCTGCGTTAAGAGGCGTAACGARTGTTACATGAACTTACATTTTTCATAAATGTCTAGAGACAGAAAGAGATGAAAGTGCTTGTGGAGATCACAAAGATGATATTACCCTTCTACTATAAATAAAGTCTCTCTGCCATTTCTATGCATGCACATGCACCTGGTATCATCTACATTAGGACTTTAGAGATACTCAAACATCAGTTTTTCATTCACAGATAAAAACRGGAATTGGTAGAACAAGAGAAGACTAGACAATCCAGAGAGAAGTTTTTTAAATACATATTTGCAGCTTTTTAGTCTTCCACTCATAAAAAGGATCCTCACCAGAAGAATCTTACTACTATGCTGTAGGCCCTATATATTCGAAAATACTAAAAAATGCATAGGAAAAGGACTTTTAACCTGAGTGAGCCTGAGATGCCACCCGAAGGAGGGAAGCTTCCAGCAGACAGGGCGGCCCAGCCTTCCCAGAGCCCCTGCTCGTTAATCCCTCTGCACAAACTCAAGTTAGCCCCGACCCAGGGAYGTGGCTCTCCCTGCAGGGGCACTGAATCAAACGCATTTGCACCCAGCATGGCTTCATCACGGCACGAGGCAGAACCCCTGCCCACGAGAGGGACYCGCCGAGGTGTCCGCCAGGGGCTCTCACCCCGCGGGCGCCCTGCTGTGAGCAGGGCCTCGAGCTGCTCCCCACGGGTGCCCGCGGCAGCTCCCGGGGCGCGCGCGGCTGCCCTGCGCTTCCCGCTCCGACGCTCCCTGACGAACCGGCTTCCTGCCTCCGTATGGCCGTAGGAGAACATATGTTAGCGTATCTGATTACCATATGTCAAGCTCCCCAGAATGGCAGCCTTACTGTGATTTAACTCCACGGGTGGCTGGCYACGAGGCAAGCACCAGCCGGATCACTTGCTGACCTCCAGGGCTCTGTTTAGAGGTCAGCATTATTTTTATCTTGCACGCTCCTTCGCTCTGTTTCCCTGTAAAACTGGCTGCAAGTTCCTTTTCTTTGAAATGTCTCCTTGTTTAATCTTCCACCTCTCAGCTTCTCCTTTGTCACTGGAAAAGACTATCTAAATTATTCAAGCAGCTGAGGAATTAAGCAGCAAGGCAAGGAACACAAAGCAAAATCATGACCTCGGGTATCCACTGATTTCCATGATGCCGACTCTTCAGCACCAGAATGTGTGCTGAAAGTTGCATCACACAGCGATCCCAAACTGCTTTATTCTTCCCCAACTTCCTTAATGTCCCATCATATCCGCAACAGGAAAACGGAACACTGTGGTGCCTGAGAGGGTAACCCTGTAAACACTTACAGAAGAAGGGATCACAAACAGCAGCACTCCTTGGATGACGAAGTTTAGCATTTCCTTTATCTATCTCCTAACCACAACAAACCTGATAGTGCACAAATTTGCCTCAGTAATACGATTAAAGAATTTAATTTAAACCAATACCAGTGTGCTTACAGGTACTTAAGCATTATTGCTTTCCATATGGACTGGCAGTAGGCTGATCATTATGTACCTGGATATGTGAAGATTCAAAGGCTTCTATTACAATTACTTTCCATCTGTTCACTTGAATAGACACCTAATGCTGTAAAGCCCTACACAAGCATTAACCCTGTGCTCAGTGGCTTAGGTATGAACAGCATTTTTGACCATATTAAAGACAGTAAGTTGTTTTTCTTTAAAAGAACAGAGTCCGGATTTGAGCTGACAACATCCTCCTCAAATTCTGTCACTGTAAAATAATGGTAGGTACAAAGTCTCCCTAAAGTGCTCAGATATAAGTGACTGAAGACTGAATGTAGGCAGAATAGGTTGGGGACTTAGAGTGGCATCTCCCAAATCATTTAAGCAGGTTACAGCCCTAGCTCCCATGGAAGTCGGCATCACCTACTTGGGGATTTTGAGGAGTTCAGCATTACAATTGCAGACTCCCTCATGAAAGCAGAGCTTAGGTCAACAGAAACACAAGCTCTCAGACTTCCATTTTTCCCTCCTCTGCAAGGAGAACAAATAGGGACAAAGTTCCTGCATTTTGCAGGCTTTGGAATCATAGTTAAGAGATATTTTTTCTTTCCTCTGTTACTACGTGAGACCTACAAAAGTAGGAAGACGAGCTGATGCTGGAAGAGAGTCCCAGAGTCCAGTATACCAAAGCAAATAAAGTGTTTTCCCCTGATTTGCTTTTGTTTGATGATTTTAGGACACTTTATGAGTTTTAAGGGGTTCACTATCTTTTCGTTGGTGGCACGCCTTAAACAAACAGTAAACATGCAACATGCAATTTTTCCCATATCCTCCAGCAGACATTCCTAAGTAACTAAGAAAACAATCTAGAAATGAAATAGAACAGTGAAATGGAGCATTTTGGATAAACTAGTACTTAAAAAAGGGTAAATTTATATTATCTTTATTTTAAAACATACAGTATTATTTAAGATGTAAAAGAGGAAAAACTCCAATAATGTTTAGAATAATATTCCCCAAAGAAAGACTGAATGCTAAGTTGAATATGGAAAACAGAAGGCAGCATAGTTGAATATGTGTTTTCTAAATTTGTTTAAGCAATTTTTTTTCTGCACTACATCAGCTTTCAGTCTTCCATTTTTCCCTCCTCTGCAAGGAGAACAAATAGGGACAAAGTTCCTATTTGTGCAGCCCACCTGGCCAGGGAAAACTGAACCAAATAAAAAGCAGCAAGGAAATTATTTTCATACCACTCAGTTCCTAGATGCAGCACTGAGCACTGCGCAGCGCAGCAGCAGGAACAAGGAGATGGAGAGGCAAGGAAGGCAGTGACCAGCTACGCAGCACGAGCAGCTCGCTGGCTGAACGTGTAAAGCCAGCGGCACTGCTGAAATGAAGGCAGACAAGGCTGTTTCTGAGCATGAACAACCCGAGGGACAAGCTTCTCCAGGCAGGGTTGGAAGAAATAGAAAGCGAGTTAAGCCAGCAACACTCAAGGTGAGCATGCACCTTCATGTGCACGCTTCACGAGCATGCACAGGAAGGGGTAGAAAGTCTGGAAGAGAATGCTCTTAATGCCATAAAACCTCCCTCGTCACAGAGCTAAAACTTGCAACTACCCGGGGTTCTCGGCACTGGATGAAACCCCTTCATCATCATGTTAGCTACATGATAAAGCTGGGTCTGCTTCTCTGGGGCAGGACTGAACCTTGGCTTTGCTGCATGGATAGAGCCTGTACGAAAAACTGGAGAGGGCAAAACAGATAAAGACAGAAAAGGTGATAAGGAAGGACCAGCTATATTACTGGTAGGGCGCTTCTAACAAAAGAAAAACAACTCTGAGGGAATAGGCAATAACTGAAAGTAGTTTGTGGGCAAGAAAGTTACCTCTTGCTTTATATCTTTTAAATAAGACTATATCTTCTCTGTGTTGTTCTTACAGTGGGCTTACAAATTGCTTCTTAATGAAGCCAATCCATTAGCTGATTACWGCAACCCCACAGTTACTCTTCAAAAATTTCTGGGTAGCATAATATGTATACCAATGCACTTAAGAATATTTGTAGGAAAATGAGAGTACCYACTATGGTGCCTTAATATTTTCTCAGACAAAGTAGTAAATTGTTAATAGAACAAAAGTGCAAAAACAGTGCAAAAAAAAATAACAGGCATTTTAGCCTTTTTAGCCTTGTAGATCTTGCAGCTCAAAGTCTAAATCTCCAGGCTCAGTGGTTGTTGATAGGTAAGTTTACTTGGGTGAGCATCTCCCAGTGACACCAAGGATGCTCATAAATAAAATTACCCATACATTTGAAGAAACAGGCACTCATATTTTCTCACATTGAGAATCAATAGGCAGTAACACTCACAACTGAAATYAGAGCGTCTGGACCAGCTGGGAAGCCGGTAGGTCAAATCAGAGAGCTACTTTGGTGAAGGTTACAGGAGAGGGAAGACAACAGGGAGTAAATGACTGCTTTGATGGGGAGAATGGAAGGACAACAGATGGGACAGCCAGAAAACCTCATCTCTGGGCTCAGGAGACTGCGACACCCCACCCCACCAAGGGATAAAAAGAAAGAAAGAAAATCTGCTTCTAACCTTACATAAAGCTACTGGGCTACAATGAGCWTGCTCCTTATTCATTTTTTTCCAGACCTTCCTAAGAATAATTATCAATTTTGTTTTGTCGTTCAAGGGCAAAGCTGTACACCAATAAACTGCTGTGACCAATACGGGAGGAGGTTAATTTAGAGATCAGTTAAGATCATAATATTTGAAAGGCAATCTCTCTTTTTTTATTGCTTTTGGTAGATAAATTATGTCTGCCATGAGCCACTGAGAGGACTCAAGTCCCACACCAATCAGCAAGCAGACAGGATGCCCAGAAACTTGTGGATGAGCTCCCTTGGAAAGGGCTGATTTTCAGATCTTTTATACTCCTTCCTTCCATCACTCTCAAGCCTCTTTCACCAGAAAAGCATACGGAAAGCAACAATGAATCAAGGAGGAAAAGGCGGTGACAAATGTGACACTTGCAGGCTTATTGCTATGTGATGAGCTGAATACATAAAGTAAGCTTCCCTCTTGCTGATTACCAAAGTAATAAAATCATCAAAGAGGGAACAGGTGATGTAACAACTCAGAAAAAATCAGGCTTGATATAACATTAAAATGAAATTTTAAAAATCCCTTTTTTTTTGGTCTCACTAGGAAATCCTAAACTAGCACTTAAGTTGAATGACTTGAAAGTTATTAAGAATATGACTCTCATAAAAACTATTTTAATATTATTACTTAGCTTTAAATATTTTGATATAGGAAGGAGAGAGATTAGTCTCCGCAAAAGCACCATCCTCTGGATGAGTCTACTTCACAGCAGCAGTTGCTTCAAGAGCACTGAGGAAGAATGAGCTTAGGAGGGAATGCCCAGACAGTTTACATATGCCTAYGCTCATGGTTCCAAACTTTCAACTTCCTACCATTCAACTTGACTTTACTTGAAGTACTTTAGCTATATGAYGTTTCCAATCTATTGTCTTAATCATTCTTTATTGCAATCAAGCTAAATATYCTCCTCTCTCATGTATCTATGACTTCTGTTATTTCTCTCTTATTCGAAATAATCAGATCTTCATTTTATTCTCTCTTATTTGAAATAATTAAATCTGTATTTTATTATCATAGAATCATAGAATGCCCAAGGTTGGAAGGGACCTCAGAGGTCATCCAGTCCAACCCCCCTGCTCACGCAGGGTCACCTAGAGCACGTGGCCCAGGGCTGTGTCCAAGCGGGTTTTAAAGATCTCCAAAGAAGGAGACTCCACAACCTCTCTGGGCAGCCTGTTCCAGGGCTCTGGCACCCTCACTGTCAAGAAATGTTTCCTTAAGTTCCTGTGGAACTTTTGGTGCCTCAGCTTGTGGCCGTTTCCTCTAGTCCTGTCGCTGGCCACCACTGAAGAGAGGCCTCCCCCTCCTCCTCACGGCCTCCCTTGAGGTATTTATAGACACTGATCAGGTCCCCCCTCAGCCTCCTCTTCTCCAGGCTGAACAGCTCTCTCAGCTTTATCCTTTTCCTACTTAGAAACTTCACTGCAGGTTCTGCAGTCTTTAGCAAAACTGAAAAAAAAGAATCCACTCTTCCACTGCAGGCCTAATTGNTCACTGTCAAGAAATGTTTCCTTAAGTTCCTGTGGAACTTTTGGTGCTTCAGTTTGTGGCCGTTTCCTCTAGTCCTGTCGCTGGCCACCACTGAAGAGAGGCCGCCCCCTCCTCCTCACTGCCTCCCTTGAGGTATTTATACACGCTGATCAGGTCCCCCCTCTGCCTTCTCTTCTCCAGGCTGAACAGACCCAGCTCTCTCAGCCTTATCCTTTTCCTACTTAGAAACTTCACTGCAGGTTCTGCAGTCTTTAGCAAAACTGAAAAAAAAGAATCCACTCTTCCACTGCAGGCCTAATTGAAACAAGCTCCTTAACATTTCCAATAAAAAGGCCACACAGTTCATTGAGGCTTCTTTCCTCCCAACTTGTTGTTGTTAACTATCACTTTTTAAACCTCTTCATGGCATTCTGAGAAATTACGGTGTCAGGACATGCTGTGAAGTTCTTTACTTGTAAGAAAACAAAGCAAAACAAAAATATAACCCTTTCTAAATAAACCAGTGCTAAAAGTAAGCAAAATTACAGAAAAATTGTGTTTGCTATTATCACTCTGAAATCATCAACTACTTTTCCTCTGAGCATGAYACAAAATCTTTTCCCTCAGGAGTAACACCACAGCTGCACAATTCCATTGATCCAACAGGAAGGACAGATTTCATTCTTCATAAACTAAACRTTTTATTAATAAAGACAACTGGCATTTGTTGACTAAAAAAGGAGATATTTAACTTTATGATCTGCAGGTAAAAGGTGATTTACCTTCTAGAAATATCTAAGGAAATTAATCATTTTGCCTAAATCCAGCMCAGAATAACTTTTTTAAAAGGAAAAGCATGCTTTTATGATGTGAACTTCATATAATTAGTATTGCCCCGCTTCAGGAAGCAGAAGAATTAACACCTACGGAGATTCAAATTCATTACCTTAGCTAGCTCAGTCTTTAACTCTTCTTTCTCTTCTTCAGAAATCATACTGGTGAAGTCGACATCAGTGACCACGTCTTCATCTGCTTCATGCAAAGACTGTGTTTCCAACAGGCCTGAAAGTAAAGAGTTATAAGGTCAAGATAACTATTATCAATCATTTCACCCATGATACTGGCATTCTGTAAAAATAAATGGTTGATTTAATGTTCACTTACTAAAATAAATAAATAAATAAATAGCTTTTCCTGCTAAAGGTGATTTGGATCCTGCCACTCTGCTTCTGGAAAGCTACTGCCATGTCAGATGAGAAATGCTATACCAAACAAGCCAATATAAAAAAGCAGCAATCCCACCAAGAAAGCAATCACCTTGGTTCCTACTAATCCATGAATGGGCACTCCCTCCATTTTAACAGAAAATAGAAAAAAAGAAAATGACTTTTCCCCTTCAAAACAATAAAGTTTAATTAATGTGGATCGCTGATGGTACAGTGACAACAGTATATGGAGCTGTACAGTAAGTACATTTCTCAGCCAAATTTCCTTTTAAAAATACTTCTGATTGTAGCAATTTGAGAACCTTACAGATGAATATAGCATGCAGAAGCAACTGCAGCACCTACTATTTGTACATGTCCAAATGTCTTGAGAGCAGCATACCTTGGCTCCTCATCTACAATTGTGTGGCATCACCTCTTACCTTCTGCTTCTTCGTTCCTCCAACTAGTGAAGGTCAATATGAGAGTGACATGATAACTAAGCTAAGCACATATATAAATGCTTTTAAGACTTGGGTGTAATATATTCAGAGGAAACAAAATATCTCTCATCTCCCTATCATCCAGTTCAGAAAAGAATGACTGCTATGGCCTCAKTCATTAAGAACATTCATTCTTCATTGCCCATAAACAACACACACAGTACGAAGCATTAGATAAAACTCTCCTTCAGCACTTGCTTTTAGAGGTTCTAAGCCTGCTTGTGAGGTGAAAGAAAACTCTCCTCCAGGATACAGCCCCAGTAGGGCTTTTCGCTTACTTCATCTCTCTAGATGAAAAATATCAGCCACCTTGGGCAACTCAGGACATCGGGGTGCTTTGTAATGCAGAAGAGACAAACTTCCTGGGGGTTCACACAAGGCCACATAAGCTCTCACAGAGAGTAGAAGTGCGTCATTGGTCAAGTCTCAGCTGTACAGAATTTTCATAGGTTTCATAGTTTTCGTGCATGTCCCATGGAGAAGGCGGCAAAACTCCCTCCAGGTTTCTGTCATTTCTTCCACCTGGAGTTCCTAGCATTCCTGGATTTCCTGCTATTGAGCAGCGTGGAACCGATTTGATTCCTATCATCACCCTCAGTGCAGAGCACTCCGGGGAGAGCTCAGCTGTGTTAATTATCCTCTTCCCTCAAGCGGGGAGAGAAAAAGCAGCAATACAGGTGCTGAGCCCCTGCCTGGCACCACACGCGAGGTGAAGAGGTTGCATATGCACCAAAGTCTTTAAAAAGTAAAAGCATATAAAAGAAGTTTAGACCCTAGTTACTATCCCCCAGTTGCGAGGAAAACCTCTATTTCAAAAGTCACAATAAAAGAAAACCACATTTTATATGTGCTGTTCAGCAGGAATAGTCCCAAATTACTTTTATTAGCCCTCCTCCACTTCTAAACACAATCGTCGTTTTGTGCTCGTTTCAGGTTTAGCAGTAGCACTGTGGGAAAGGGGCTAAGCTTACTCCCYATGGTCTTGGAAGCAGGCTCTCTTCTTAGGAATGGAGTAGGAGTAGAACAAGATAGGTCTGAGAAGCACAGGGAATAAATCCAGGGTAACGGGGTTATGGCTGAAACAGCTTAAGGAAAATCTAAGAACAGAAATTACAAAAGACACGAGCTGAGGAGATCTTGAGGTGATGAGAAATGGGAGGCAGAGCTGAACTCAAGGGACACCACAAGTTTGAGACTGGCTGCGTAAAGAGAATTGCTGGGCAATGGATAGACAGATATGGAAGCTAACAGGGTCTAACAGAGCTAATTGAGTGACACTAAAGCAGACCAAGAGACAAGATCAAAAATGTGCAAATACAGTTCATCCAAAAAAAAAACACACACGTGACAGTCTTTGCATAAGACTTTGAGGTCCCATCCAGTGCCAGTCCCAATTCTTACCTCTTGCTTTTCATCAAAATCCCAACATGCCTAAAATTCTTGTCTGATCCCTCAGTCCCTAATCATCACTGTCTTTCCACCAAGGTTTCACTCCAGTCATCTCACAGGTCCAAACAGTTTCCAAATCTTTTTTCAAAGCCTTCTTAGACATTTATGCCTGTTTCCCCTCTGATCACTACAAAGTCCAATGTTAGATTTCAGAGTCAGAGGTTTCCTACAACAAATATAATGAAAACAGCCTGGCAAAGATTAAGATTTAACTGACAGAATGCTAGAGGAATTTATCCTTTTATGAAACATCAGAGAATATTTCAGTATTCTTACACTTGAATATGAAGTTTAACTGATTTCACTGCATTGAGACTCACAGTAATTTTACAGCTGGAAGATATTTGATACTCGCCAGACCAGAACATTATGGAGCCTTAWTCCTGCTCAATCAAAGCCAAGTTCTGCGCACTCAACAGCAGTGCTAAGGCAATAACAAAAAGCAGRCGGGTTGTAATCAAGGCACATTTTCATGTGAAATGGAGCACAATACAGGTCAGCATCACCCAGCTAAGCTCAGACTCCAGCTGCAGRAGTACAGGCTTGTTCTCATCTAGGTTGCCATGCTGAGCTACACAGCTCATCCACTTGGACACAGGATTGTGGTGATGGGATTAAACCAAGACCAAGGTCTGGGATGAGCCCTCACAGGACTCTACTTGGGGGTGGAAACTTGGCCCACCTCCCTCAATCAGCTGATCAGGCAGCCCCTCTTCTGGTGGCCTGAGATTGGTGGGGACAAGATCTGACGGTCCATATGGTGTCACCCAGTCTCACATTCCTAAAACAAGTTACACTAAGAACACATCCTTGTGTCACTCACCCTCCACAGAGCCACACTTGTGAGTGTCTGAACCTGTGCTACTCCAAGAGCAAACAAAAAGCTCCCACAAAGGGCAGGAAAGCACATAGTAGGGTACAAATCAATGCAAAAGTTGCTTGGTTTGCACCATTTTTAGGAGCTCATGGTACCTGCTGTCACATATAATTAGATAAAGCACACAGGAAAGATGAAAACTGTAGGACTGCCAGAAATTAGGAACTGCTAATYATACACAAGGATCCAACTCAGAAGGATTAAACAGGCAACAATATACTGAAAAAGAGAGGGGGGGATGGGGGAATACATTTAATGTGATCCTTTAAAAGATCTCCATGACAAGATAACACAACTATGCAAGGAGTTGCAGGATCCTAAAACTTTCCATGGGCATCTTGGCATTCTCGCCCAAAGTTCATGGCCAAGACTGGTAGTAGAAGGTTTACAGTCTGCTATTAAACCTGATTTAACTTGCAGCTGTACCCATGCCCGCTACTAGGATTTTTTAATTACACAATGAAGTGATGACAAATTAACTATGTCACATTAAACTTTCCACAAAGTTCAAATTAACTATGTCACATTAAACTTTCCACAAAGTTCAAAGAATATGACAATAAAATCTGAGGGAGATTTCGGATGTGCAAAGATCAGCTTCAAGCATTCACTTTAATCTTTTTTTTTTTTTTTTCTTTTTAAAAGTGTATTTTCCTCCATATTCCTCACAGGATCATTTTGTAGAGTATTCCACATAAAACTAAATCTTTTACGTTCATCTTATAAAAAAGAAAACACTACTGGCAGTAATATGTGCTGAATTAACTACTGTAGTAACAAAATTAAAAGCAAGAAAATAATATTTTAGGTGCTTCCAGAGACATGCATAGATGATGATCCTTAGTATTCTAATGAAACACTTAGGTAGCAAAGCCCTTTTCTTGCTCTTACTGTCTTTATCATCTGTGTACACAGTTTTCAGCGTATCTGTTTCCTGACCAATTAAAAATAGCATCCCTAACCTGTTCTCTGGTACCCACATCAGGGACAGAATATGCCTGCACAASAAGCGATGACTCGCTACAACTTCTTTTACCATGTCACTGTACTGGCACCAATAGCACAGTGCAGTATGGAGGAATACTGTTTCTCAGCAAGTGCTGGAAAACACTTGTTAAAAAAATTAAATTGCAATTAAATCTAAGTGATGAATTCATAAGCACAACAAAGGAACTGTCCAGACTCTGCATTAGTGTCTGCTCTTCTTTACAATGTCAGTCTTAATATCAGATACAGAGATGCAGGGAGATAGGGAAAGATGAGAAGAGACAAGAGAGCAGAAACATATCAGAAGCATATACAATAAAAAAAATAAATTGATTGTAAAATTTAATATAAGTTAGCAGATTTTCACTACTATTTTTTTTCACCTGGAATTTATTTTGAGAGAACTTAAAGGGAAAATATTCTCTCATTTAAGTGAGCAGACTACTCAAAGGAAGATTCTCCTTTGCCTCTGGTCCCAACTGTGCCGAGACCAAACTGCTCAAGTTGTAGCGCAGAGCCTTTTTCCTAAAGGACCTGGGTGAATTGGGTAAAAGTGACAAGAGTAGTCACAACAAATAAATAAATAAATAAATAAATAAATAAATAAAATTTATTAAAGTTTTTAATAAAACTTATACCAAGCTTTGTCCTAGGATCTCTTCGTCCAAACAAAATCACTGAAACATCCAGCTGTGCTTGGCAGGCTCATCTTAAGCATTTTATCTAGACACATATAGCTCTCTCTCTATGAAATAATAATTGGGCTGGCCCAGGGAAGACAAGGGCAATACTGCCTTCCAAGCTGCAACTATGAAAACACAGAACAATTGTGCAGTGCAGCAGTTCAGTGACAGCAGATGCTTCTTTCCATTATGTCAATGCTGAAAGTAATGACAGTATTGTGCCACTTACTGTGCTTCCTATGACCATTCTGTACAACTTGCATTGAGGTCAAGGGTAAGAAAAAGATGCCACAAGTGGAAGCTATATCACATCTTTTCTTTCTTGAGGCAGAACAGAAAAAAATAAAAGAAGATGAAG